GGGGGTGAGTTTCCTATGTGTGTCCGGGGATTCTCAAGTGACTTACCAAGGCGTTCTTTCAGTGTGATACAGTCCGCCCTCAGTAGGGAGTGCGACAATGGAAGCTCATCGTAGATCAATTGCATTTTTCGTTGGCACAATGGTTGTGTCCAATCGGCAGAGACTGGATCCAATACCCGGTTGAGCTGAGTGCCCTTGCCCGCCTGAGTACAACACGCAGCGGAACAGAATGTGGACACATCGGGCGAATGGGTCAACGGGACANTTCTTTGGGGTACCGCCTGGTGCTGATCGAGATATTGCAACAGGTGGTAGTGGTGGTTGCGGTGCTAGGGCTGGAGTTGGTGGACTGAATGTGGGTAGGAACGGATTGGTAGGGACGTTTGTCACAGTGCCGAGGTTGGTGTTGGTAGATCCGGAAGTGAATGCGTTGCTACTGAGGTTATTCGAGATTGCTAAGGTGTTGCCAGTGGTGGTGGTGGTTGGGGAAAGCGAATCGCCAGCAACGAATACACCGCCGTCCGATGAGGGTGTGGAATGTTCTGTTGGATATTAAGTAAAACAGTATAGTAGGTTAATGATAATAATAATAATAATAAAAAGCAAATACTTTATGTTTATTCCTGACAAGGAGAAAAAAAACTAGTTATGTAATCGAATTTCTCCCGCACGAGGGAAAACGAATTCCAATCTGGAAGCCGTTTCGATAGTATTGGGTACCGTTGGCAGTGTAAATCCTAACTGCGATCCCCCGCCCTGACATCACAAATGGTACCACCTACTTGAGTGTAGAACAGTGACCAGGATGGAACACTTCTACGGTGCTTCTCAATCAAGTTAGCCTCCGTTTTTATTCTCTGTATTCGTCAAGATCAAAGGAGTTACTTCATTGCATAACTTTTATATTCTCGTACAAATGCCTGATTACAAATTTGGTATGTTGTTTTCCATCGGGATGGCATGAAATTTGAAATAGTTCTTACGCAAAGTTGTGATAAACTTTGTGAACTGTGCTTTCAAATGTGACCACAACAGGGGTTCAAATTTTGATTGAAGTGTTCGTGAAAAGCAGAGAAAATAGAAGAGCAGGGGAGCAACAAGGAATGTCTCATTGATACGATAGAGTAAATGCTACAATGCATATCGACCAATGCAATTTGGCCATAAAAATTGGTGTCATAAACCAGAGAATTTACATTGACCCATGTTAAGGAGGCGTTATCTTGAATTTCAAGCGGACACCCAATGTCTCTCGCCAGGGATGAGGGTGGTGTTGATGCCTGGGGTTCAGAACCAGGTCCCACAAGGAGCTGTGAGATCAAATAAAAACTGGATCAAAACGCGGCAGGAAATCACCGTTGCGAGGGTGGAATCACGTACGATCAGGTATACCCCATATTATAACCATACGAGCAAATTTTAAATAAAAAACAGGAGATACTCATGCTCACTGTGATAGCACTTCGATACACTTAGTTAACCCTGGGAAACATGTACCCTGAGATCGATAATTTGGGGTCATTTTTGCCCGTATATGACACGAATGGACAGGTCAATACAGTATTTGATTTGTAAAAGCCACAGTTTCCGTTCTCGACGGTGGTAGTGGGATAGATAGATTTTTATGTCTCCAATGATTGCAATTCTTGCATTCCATCACTGCAAACTACACAATTGCTTGGATTATGGTGAATTTGGTCCCGGCATATAGAATAGGAATTGTGTACCCGTCTAGCACAGATCAGGGTGAAATGACTTACTGGCAGTTGCCAATTTCCCAAAACCGATGATTCTCTCTTCTGTCTAGGTGTACTCATATTACTGGTGATCCTGAAATCCACTTTAGCTATATCGGCTGAGTGTTGTGCGTCTGTGTGGAGGGGAGTAGTGGATCGTTTTCAAATACCCCACCCCCGGTTGAAACTCTCGTCACGATCACAGTCATCATCCATGGATTGCCTCGTGATGAAATCGCTTTAGCACAGGGTAATTATTGATTCAGTCAACCCTCAAGTATTGCCTTCTGCAAACGGCCAACTGTCCTATTTGTGTCTACATTTATCCGCAAGACAGGTTCCTAACCCAGTCAACAATACAAATCAGGTGGTGAAACCGCGGTGTGTGTGCACAACATTGCCGTGTCAAAACAATGGGAACGAATGTGTTGGTTTCATCCGAGCTCATCATGTGTGTGTGTGTGTGGGTGTGGGTGGGGGCGGTACGAGGGATTGTGGAAGGAGAGTTCTGTGAATGATGGATGAGTATTTGACACCACAGCCCGCGTTGATCAGCGGTTGTACCGATTGTACCGTGACAATTATTGCATTATAAGAACGGTGTTATCAGTCATTCAACCTGCCCGTAAAGTTCTCTCTGTGTACCGGTGCATTACCATCCTCTTTTTTGTTACAGTTGTGCTGGATACTTCAGTTCCCCTGTCGATAGACATGGAACAGTGGACAACGCAGAGAACCGTTTATGATAAGGTTGTCTATTTGTCAGAAATATGAACTTTGTAATAAAAAACGCATCAGCTAATACACAGATCCTATGCATGTTAGCATGTTAAGTTGAAGGAATTAGCGGGCTGTATTCTACAATGACGATTACAGTCAAAGGTGAGTAATTAACACAATACCCCAAAGTTTCATAGTGGTCATCAATACTCGATGCGCACGGAAGTCTATTTTTATCACCATTATTAGTAAATTATTATTATTGATTCCGACAAAAAAACGTATACTGCTGTACCACCAACATCCAAACTAGTGTTTTCCGGTTTTTTCTTTTAGTATTTCTGTAACCATTTCCTGGAATATAAGAAATCTTTTGTTTCGTTCACTTGCCCCCAATTGGATTTCCCCTAAGAGGACTGGGACAGGTGAATTGGAGGATGAGATGTGTATGAGATTTGCGATTTTCGACATTGCCCCGCCCACTCGCGGTGGCACTTTCACCCACTCCTCTCGGTTCTGGTGACATTTTTATTTTCGCCGGCATTATGGCGTCGGATATCGGGTAGCATTATCCACAATTGAATTTATTATTCATGGACAGGGTACACACCACGTCTGACTTTTCTCATTCCATGAGACGCGTTTTCTGTTCACGGGGATGATCGGCTTTGTCTAACGGGCCGCTCACAATTGATTTTATAATTCATCAATGAATAAAACCGAAAGAAGTGAAATCCGCATGAGTTTTATGAGATCCGCCATGATTGAGGACGTCAAAAATTTGATAAATGGAAAGTGGATTATGGATTAAGTCTGCCACTTGCTGCACATACTTGGTTGTTGATTTCATCCGGATCGTGTGGCCCAGAGGTTTCGTCTCAGAATCTGAAGCTTGCATGGGAGTAATGGGGCCTTTATTCACTTGCATATGGGGATTCGTCGTGTATAGTGCGAATGAGGCGTGAACTGAAAAACTCAGTTCAGTTCAGTTTGTACAACCATTAACCATGCAATTTTGTGCGTCGGTTTTGGATGCTGTCTTCTGACTGCCCATTTCAATGAAGAATAGGAAAAGACAGGAAAGTTGATAGTAGAGTCGAACAGAAAATGGAGGATCTCAGTGGTCCAAGGTTGAAAAGGAATTGAGAAGATGCAATAACACCACTGTTTAAGACAAGCAGCCATATCACTCGGGTATGATCATCCCTAGGTCGCCATCCAGGGAGCCTAACGGGACCTATGTGGCCCAGTCCCCCGGCCAGGATTTTCATGCCCTCGTGTCAGGTCTTAGCTTGATTACCCTTGACTTTTCTCCATCCACTAACAGCCTCTGCGAACATCGCGCACCGTATCAACCCTTCTAGTGACATGCGTAACACATGCCCTAACCAACTTAATCTATGGAGGTTGACCATTTGCTCCAGTGGACGACTGCATTCACCTAAAACCCTGCTTCTAACCTCAGCATTGCTGCTTCAGCGGCTGCTTCACCAGATTCGTGCAATGCTGCTTAAACAGCGGTGTTCGAACATCGACAGTATATCTTTATCTTGCTTCTCTTTTGGTCAAGTTTATGCGCCGTATGGCAGAACTGGCCGAACTGCTGCACTATACACACGACCCTTCACAGACCACCGGATGTCGCGAAGGAGCCACGACATCCGGTTGTCTGTGAAGGGTCGAGTGTATGCTGCAGCTAAGAAGCTAAGAAACGCTGTACGGCTATTTCGACCTGGTTGGGTTTCACCAGCATTATGAATCCATCAACCCAACTGGGGATTGAACCAGGGATCTCGTAGGTAGAATGCAAGCATACCACCCACCCGGAAGCTAACCATACCGTTTTTCGTTTTCCATTTACACGATATTGCACGACCCATGATGGATTTGCACTGCTGATAAGATCGAGCAAGGTCGAAGTGACCATACAAGTGCTTTCTAGCTTTTCAGTTTACGCTTCATTTGCTCCATACAAGCCGAATTTCCTTATGAAATCTGAAGGTTCACGATCCTTTTACAGATTCTTCACACTTCGTGAGGATGATGAGACCCAATACGGAAACACTAGCTGATCCTGCTGGTTGTTAGAAGTAAAGCATAGTTCTATCCAAGAATGCATGGCGAGTCTTTTTCTACATATATATATATATATATACGTAATGTTGAATAGCAAAGATTCTCTATGTGTTAGGTCCCATTTATCGGTCACCCTGTCTGGATTAAATGACTTCATCCGTCCTTTTTGTCAGTTTGTGCCATTGATGATACAAATGTTTTGTGATTTTGCGCAGTTCGCGGAGAGAATTTAATCTTTATTACCCTGTTGATTTATTTTTTATTGAGGATGGTTGAAGCTATTTGAATCATAAGGTAGGTTACGAAAGAACCAGTTGGGGGCGGTCTAAATTCGAGGCCCGCCATGGTGGCCCATCTTTCCGTTATATGTACCTCCCTAGGCTGTCTTTGTATGGCCGCCACCCGCTTCCTAAAAATTGTTTGTTCATTTCTATGATCGGTAAGGAAAAACGGAGTAAAAATATTACGAAAATACCCATAAACCGAGCTTTTCCCTTCAGGAGCATATTCCCAGTTTATTTTCAACCTCTACAATCAAAATTAACTCGATGAGTTTTAGCACATATCTGATTGGCCCTGCCAGGTAATTGAACTGGGAATGGTAAATTATTGTTGCAATTCATTGTGACAGCGCGAACGTATCAGCAGATTGCATCAGTTGAGGCAAATGTCCATGTTCCGTTGCGATCGTACCATTCGGTTGGATAAGCACATGTGACTCAACGGAAACGCTTTTGATTACTCTGGGCTCCGATATCGCATCCCCACCCGGATCCCCGCACCCAACCCACACGTTTGTATCACTTCTTATCGATCTGCGAAATGATGTTTTGCGTCGCTTGCTTATAAAACGTTTGAGAGTTATTCAGCAATTCAGTGGGTTTTTTTTAGAAATGAAAGAGGAATGAAGTTCAATATGTGAATGCGGCCACCATGCATCACAAATCAGTACAATTCAAAATGCCCGGTCTTTATCGGCGCAATGTTTGTAACTAGCCGGTTTAACGCTAATTCAGATGTTGGGATAATAATAATAATAATAATAATAATAATAATAATCGGTCGACTTATCGAAAGTTCAATTGGTTTGACAATATTCCTGTCTCAGCATTAGCAAAAGGAAACCTATTACAGAGGGAACGCCAGAACCAACGATTGGTTTAGTACCAGGATGAACATTTTATGTGTGATTTGGGTCAGTTAGCAATCCCCTGATGGCGACCGATATGCAACCGCCTATACAATCACAGATGGACGTTTCTTGATTTGCTGGTTATCATAGTACAGGGGTGGGTGGGTGCAATATCCTTTCTCAATAGGTCAATACCGAAGTACAGGCGTCGTGTCTAACGAAACGATGGTAACCTTTTTGCACAACAAATATTTTGTAGGAATTTCGCGGTACTCGCGTTTGAGAACTGGTGGAGAGAATTCTAAGAATGTCTGATCATCTATGTTTATTGAACTGCCGTGACCAACGTTTTCGTTGTGCCGCATGTTGAAGGTCTACAGCTACATCCCCGGTTGCATCATCTGCTATATCCTTCGTTAATCAACGTATCATTCACCTCTAAAAACGTTAAAGCAAAACTAATGGCTTTGCGAAAAGATGTAACCCCAGGTGCGGTTAATATACATATCCAAATTCCCCGATCTTTTTGGCAAATCACACCTCCGAACCGCGAGCCATTCTTTTCCAACGAATGTTTGACCAAGCAACACTCCCACAAACGTGGAAAACGAGTTATTTCTCCCATATACGAAGGTGGTTGTCGTGTTGACTCCGCTACCGATCTGTAACCCTGTTTTCGGTGTTATCGAAAGGCATGCATTCAATTGCTGCAGATTCTCTGATGGAACACCTCGATAGATACAAAATTCTTACAATAGCTCAACATGGGTTCAGGCAAAAGCAGTTCTGTTCCACCAACCTGCTTCTTGTTCGAGATGAATGGACCAGAAAAGTTGACGAAGGGAATGCGGTGGATGTGATTTACCTCGACTTCTCGAAAGCATTTGATCGGGTGAATCACCAAATTTGGTTACAATAGCTCTACAATTGCGGCATCGGAGATTTCGTGTTTGATTGGATTGGCGCATTCCACCAACAACGTACTGTATCACTTCGTGTTTCTGATTCCATATCCGGAACTATCAACGCCACCTACAGTGTTCCTCAGGGGTCCGTATTCGGTCCCGTCTGTTCAGTGCATTCATAAATGATCTGTCGAACGTGTTAGGTTCAGAAACAACACTGTGCAGACGACACCAAAATCTAGAAAACAGTAACAGATCCCGAGGGCTCTCTAACACTTCAGGAGTCCCTTGAAGCAGCTCGTCAATGGTCTAAAGAGAATGCCATTGAATTCAATGTTTCTAAATACAAAGTCCTATCCCTACGCCACAAGAGAAGATTCTCGTATTTTCTCGGGAGTAAGCAGGTACCACATACTCCAAATGAAAAGGATTTAAGTATTGTTGTTCAAGAGGACTTAAGCTGCTCCATCAAACGCCTAAGGCTTCGTTCACTGCTGTGAAGATTGTCGACTTACTTAGGCGAGTTTTTGGTCGGTTTGAATCAGCGTTGTTCCCACGCTTGCTATCAGTGTACATTCGACCAAACACAGAGTACGCCATCCGAGCTTGGAGCCCATGGTGGCAACGTGATCACAAGATACTTGAGCGCCCACGAAGAATGACCACCAAGATAGTCAAGGGATCGCATAACTTCACCTATGAGGAGAGGTTACGATCATCGGGACTATATTCTGCTTAGTACAGCTGCCTTTGAGGAGACTTGATTTTGAAGTATCAAATATTGCAGAACCCAAACCATCCATATCGACCGCTGCCCATGTTATCGAACAATTTACAAGTTAGGGGACACCGTTTCAAGTTACTGATTGCAAAGTGTCGACTGGTATGCCAATTCCAATCTTTTGCAGTCAGAGTATGCAGTAATTGGAACACCCTTCTATTTCACGTCGTTTGTGCATCAAATATTGAATCTTTCAAGAAGAGACTCGACAAAACCTTGGTACACCTTACATTCCTGCAGCACTAAACACAAATTAGATGAAGGCTACATTTCCGTTATCTCCTGCCTGGAACTGTATGTGATTTTTTTCCGCCGAGAAACGATTCATCTGTGTAAATATCCTATGGGGATAAGAGAAGCATGAGCTTGTAAGCAGTTCCCATAATAAAACTTTGACCTCGAATTTGAAAGTTACTTGGATGAACTAAAGTCTGTGATCAACGCAAAGTAGAAAAATGCGGTTTGTTTAGAGCTAATCGGCATTATACTTACTCCGTTATCGAACATTTTAATAATTTCAAATTGCTCGTAGTGGCTTCGGTAATCAATAGTCCAAGAATGACCCCCGTGCCGCTTGCATCGTGAAACGGAACGGAGAAAGTTGAGTTTCCCTACAAGGATTGCCTTATTCGGCAATGAGATTTTTCCAGGCACCGTTCGAATTAGCCAGGTGTGTATGTCATAAATTGACCTTAATGCAACCGGTTCACCTTGCCTGGTGGAAGTATTTCAGCAGAACTATAGATGACTTCGGCGATAAAGATTATCAAATTCCGTGTCCATCATACTCAGAAGAGTACATTTCTGGTGGTGGTGGCGCAGTTGATTAGTAGCTGTCACCCGCGTGCTTTGGACAGTATGGTCCGAGGTTCGAGCCCCGTCACCGCCACCCGATTTTGGTGGTAGGCAGCTCTACTGTCGTCCGGTTCAATACCACTTCTAACCTATCGGGCCTTGTGTGGTTCTCCACTCCATGTCCCGAGGCTTAGGTTGCCGGTTTCCTCCACTCTGGACTATGGGGTTTACCCCGTCTGTTCATCACACTTAAGTGTGTAGTAGAAAGCACTAAAAGGTTTGTACGGATAATTTCTTATAAAATTCCGTAACTGTCATATAAGTTATAGAGTATTTAGACAGCCTTCGTTGCGTTATTGGAATTGCAGTTTGTTTAGATAGAGGTATTTCATTCGGGTAAATGTTTCGTCGTTTTGATTGTTCAGTACTTGAAGGTACTGGTATCATAAAGATCGAACAATCTGGATATGAATACGATGCACATTGATGCGTTTATTGATCGAACATGATCGACCGGTGACCCAATACAGTAGCTTGAGGTGTAGCTCAAGGACCCTATGGCAGCGTCATGTGATGGCCGAGAGCAATGGGTCAAGCACTGAACGTGAATGATCTTTGGATATCAGCGTAGCACGGCCCGATATGACTTCATAGGGGGAGGGGGACGAATGCACACACACAGAGGTGGGTATGCGTACTAGCAAGATAAACAATCAAGATATACCATGGGAATTGGCTTGTGTGTGTGCGACCGAGGCATGTCTCACAATCTTCATCCCCGCCAACCGGAGGTTGAGTGGTCTATGCTGCCTGATGGTTTTAAAAGTTTGTGAGCCTGATAACTCGGATGAAATCAATGAGACAACATGTAATTCCGACCAGATAACCTGAAATGATACTCGAACAACTTCAAATGATATTCCTGCCACTTGAGTTGCAAAAGGTGTAGATGACTATCAATTTGAAGTTCTTCATATCATAAACTGTACGCACCTGAAATGCAAATATTCCATGAGTGTTGCCCCATGGTATTATGTTCTGATTTTGAATTTCGAGAAAAAATCTGAAAGCGTTTGGTGAGTATCGTCTCAGAGATTCATTCCGCTTTTTTGATGATCATAAAAGTTCCTAGTAGAAGTCCATTTTTTCACAAATACTCACAAATATTGAGGGAATTTGAGCGGCACTCGTGAAATATCGCTTACCTTCACTGCACTCTGGTTCCTCCCATGGTGTATCCAAAATCGGGTCAAAGTGGAGTGAGGCCGGTTGCGTATCTCCAGACAAGGCACCGGTACGCACCAGTCCTACGGTTGTCTGTTGGTTGACCAGTCCGGTTCCGAAACCATCGAAACCGTTCTCATTCTGACCGCCATGGAAACCTGCAGTGGGGGTGTTGGTGGTCGTTGAAGCCATGTCGGTGCCTGTGGTACCGCTGACCGTAGAGAGAGAACTGATTTGGTTCAAATTTCTAGTCGCAGTGTTTGTAGCCGATGGTGGCCAATCCGGGACGGAGGTCTGATTGGCACCGGCAAAAACTCGACGAACCAAGGCATCCATTTCAGCACCGATTTTTACCGTTTGCTGTTGATGACCTGGTTGCGCGGGCTTTAAACAACTCTGATCGGTCAGACTGACAATCGATTTGTGGAAAGGAAAGGAAACGAACGCGCATGTTATCTTCCTTCAAGTTGCATGTAACGAGGACAAAATGGATGTTGTTGATGATGATGATGATGATACGTAATTCCATCTACGCCAATCGTTCAATCTGACCCTCCCTGTGAACTTGACTGTGCCAACGTTTGAACCAGGTTACTTTGCTAGTACAACTCCGGCTCCAAAATCCTAATTGCTATGGCTTCGACAGTTGTTAGGATACTATTATGTAATCCTTTGGTGTGGTTCTTAGGTGCTGTGAAGAAACTTGCAAACGACGTTACTGTGTCCAATGTCAAACAGATGTTTCAGGATTGAACTGTTTAGGCTTCTAACTCTTCCTTTATGAAGAGAGATCGGACAGTTTTTGGATACTCTTGAAAGAACGCCTCTTTGAGTGTCCGATAGGACGAGGGCTGATATCGAGCAAATGACTGAGATTGATGGAGCAAACTAACCTTGAGCTGTTAAATGGCGCTGTGGGAAAACACTTTTGAAAAACCGATGCTCCCTCCGAAATTTCTAGTGCCCTGTCTCCTTTGAAAGGAACATTGACAAACATCTTTTCAGCCAGTTGCTTTTACATCGCTTGAATTTGATTCGAGATTTTGTCAAACAAATGCTTCTAGGAAGCAGTCTCTTACGTAGGTTATCTCGTCGCATTAAGGCCTATCAAGTCTCTTCGTACTGTAAGCTAAACAGTTCAATAAATTCCGTTTGTATCTCAATGATGCAAAACTTTGAAATGTGTGTGTACTGTCCCTCGGCACGTCCTCGTACGGTATATTCTGCGTTCTATAGCATGCATATCACTGATTATAGTTGAATTAAATATCAACCATCACGACAAGACTGCACATTGACGTGGTGTGATGGCTTGTGTACCTGTCTGACTAAACAATCTACATAGGATGGCTTTTGTCAAGCCGAATATCTAATCATTCGTGGAAGGTCGAAGGATAGAGGTCGGATGAAGTTCAATCATCTGGTCCTCCAGGTTGGAGGTTCAAATAGAATTTGCATTTGAGCCTGTAAAAAATGGTGGATGAGTAATTGATCCAATTAAATGGGCCTCCACACAGCAAGAAGCCCATTGCTGTCGGTTTGTAGCCACGACCTTCGGTGTCTCCAAGCATCCAGGTACTGAGTCTTTTGGACCCCAACCCGGAAGATGAGAGACACCTACTCTACTTAATCGCTCTGCGTATTTCTTCATGCCTCGTCTCTATATCATCTGCTGGCCTTCACGTGGCTTCCTCCAGCTTGCAACATCCTCTGCAAATAAGATGCGCTGCGGTAGGCGCCCATCGGGCATACGCAAAATGTGTCATAACCAATGGAGCCTATTGAGCTGGATTCGAAGCAATAGCGTGATCTTGTTCGACGCACTGCCAAACACCCGACAAGTGACTTCCAAGGTAATAACCCGCTCACACTATTTCACTTGATACAGACTACGTAAGCATCGATTGCCGAAAACCTCCAAGTGACGGATGTCTGCTATCCGCAAATTCAAGGTCTCACAACCGTTAAACAGAACTGGTCGTACAGTGGCGCTATATACGCGACATTTAAACTTCAGTGAAACATCACATCGTCGCCACAGGTGTTCAAGTCCAGCGTACGCTGCTCGAGCCTTGAAAATGCCGGCGGTTATCTCCTTCGATGCGCTACCGTCATTGCTCACGCAGCTACCTAAGTACGAGAAGCAGTCAACTCCAGCTAATTCCTGACCCTCTAGTTTCAGAACAGAACTCATCGACACCTAGTTTTGTAGCATCACTTTGCACTTTGCAGGTGCAAAGCACTTATTGAGCTGTACGGCGAACAAATTTTAGGCCATAACTAAGGGGATCTATGGTATAAGGTTGACACATCTTTGAACTACAGTGTTTCAATGAGGTATGCATTCTTCTGAGACCGCAAAATATGAAAGCTTCTTCACAAGCCTGTGCTATTCATGCACAAACTAGCAGTCCAGAGACACATTCTGGGCAGTTGTGTGAAGCATTTCACTTTATGTTTCCTTCGGTCCACTAGTTTTAATACACCCGGTGCTGATTTGAGAAGAGACAATTTTTCATGAGGATATTCACTCCGGTAGTTCTGTACAAACAATGGACTATCGCATTCCCTGGGCCGCATAACGCGGAAAAATTAGACTTTTTGATTTGGCGTCTGAATCATAGCACATGATTTCATCATGGCATCTTGCATACCCACCCACATCTAAAGTCGACATGCAATCTGCCCAGTTTGGATATCCAGGGGTCCGATTCAGTCCTACCATGGCTACGGTGAATTATGAAACATAGGATCATCTCAATCTTCCCGCCTGCAGGAGTGTGTAAGAGAATTGAAAAACAGTGAATTTCAAGTGCATAACCAATCGATGATCAATTGAAGGCTAATTTTGGAATGATTGAGAGGACGAAAAACAAATGAAATTTGCGTTTTCCTTTCTCTTATTCATCTGCGCAATGACAGTATTTGCCCAATCTGAACTAGAATCGATGATTTTCAGAAATTCCGTTTAAAGTATGATGTTGTTCTCGTGAAGAATTTGATTGAACGGGCATGTCAGAGGACAAACACAGTGCTTGAAAAACGTCCCGGACAGACTCTCATTGATCGTGTATATATCAAAAATGCTGTTTGAAGACTATAGTACGCCGCTTTGTCACATCTATGTTCAATCACTAGGTAGCTACTCAGTACTCTAGACACAGATAATCACTCTGTCTAGTGTATTTCCCATCGCATTCTATTTCACCTTCGACAAATCATACATTGGGCAGGACCGATCCAATTATTCAAGCTAGAATAGTTAAACTAATATCCTGCTTTAACGTAAAATTCCAAACTACGGATGTGGAAAGATGGTAAGGCACATCCCGACTGTGTTACATACAGTGGCCTCGTAAATCACGTGTCACTTAGGTGAACGTCGACATAAAGTAAACATTAAGAACACCTTTAGCCTTCTGTTGCCTCATTAAAACAAACTTCGACGAGAGATGTTATATTTTCTCAACTTCAAATGAACTCGTTGTGACTGCAAATTAAACCATTCTAATCTCTGATGGATCATCCGTAACACGTTTTACTCACTAACCCACGAAGCGATTGATTTTTCAGCAATGGTACGATAATCATTGAACCTGCGTTATATTATGATGCGTGTAACTGATTTTCCCATGAGCATACATTTAGGTTGAGTTGCCGAACAATGGTAAAGGTTTAACGGGTTGGGGTATGAATGCTCATCTGGAAACTAGGGAACAGAATGACCTTGACGGTTGATCGAGTGAGCTCTACAGCGAAGCGATGGGAGGAACGTGGTGGTAGTTGGTCTCGTTCTCCACTCACCACTCACCATTGTGTGAAGGTGAACACGAATCGTTTTGGGAACGGGATCTCAATAAACAAGTAAACTCCATTGAGGCCAAGGTTCCATCGAATCGCAACTGCAAGTAGTGGCACTTACCAATGCATCTTTATCGTTGTCAGCAGCCAATGTATACATATATGTATCTTCATCTTCTGGTAAATTAAGTTACTGATGAAAGTAAAAAGTTCAAGGCCATGGGGTCCCCCGTGGGCGAAAGGTCACAGCCCGCACAGTGAAATACCTGTCCCAGCTCACTAACCCACTCTTATTTCAAATAGGAATTCGTCGTGTATATACCAAATGAAGCGTGAACTAAAAAGCTCGGAAGCATTGGACAGCTGTTTCAATCTGAAGTGCGAATCCATCGACCCGACTGGGGATCGAACCCGGGCAGAACGTAAGCGTGCTACCCACTACACCACCGAGTAGCTGATCAGACCGTTTTTCATTTTCCATTTACACGATATAGCACAACCCACTCTTATTTGTTCACGGGAAAAAATCAATTCATATTGAGTGATGAGTGCTGTGGTCCAGCGGGTTCAGTAGATCACGTGTGACTGCCAGAGCTATAATGGATTGGCTTGAAGATAAGACATTTTTTAAGC